GATCTGGTTACTACCATAATGATTATCTCCACAGAATGTGGGTGTGTGGTCACTCTTAGCTTCATTTCTCCCCATAGACCTTACTGGCATGGGTGTCCCTACCAGGAGCTTGTGCTCCAGCCTGCATTGCCCTATGGATCTGTAAAACTACTGGGCTCTCCCACCACGACCAGGTGGTGACCACGGGAGAGTTATTATTATTATTATTATTATATAGTAATTATACATCATTTAGAGTTTCAGAAAAGTTAATATCTTTTTTAATTCTTACAGTTTTATATAATCTTCAAGTTCGTTTTTGTAATCAAAATGCTATTTATACATACTGTGGTAAGTGTATTTTTGTTATTTGTTTGTTAATTTTATTGTTTTATTTTTTGTTTCTATGAAAAATGAAGTAAAATTTTTTAGGTATAACTAAATATTAAACTGATTATTATAGATACAGATATAATCAGATTTTCCTGAAAGTTTAACAACTCAAGTGCAAACTTCTTGTGAAGAAGACATAACATGTATTAGAGTATTTAACTAAATAATTTTTTAAAAGATGTTTTGAAAAAGTTAAAAAGTATAGAAGTGATACATTTACATTAATATTATTTATCTCATCTTTTTTGTTTCATAAGAAATGTTTTTATATTATAATACATTTGACTACCAGAATCCAAATAATAATTTTCTGCTCCAAAAATTTTTAATATTTGTTACATTGAAGAAACATACATATTTTTAAATAAAATAAACATAATTATGATGATTGTATTTTATGATGATATTATAATTAACAACTTTCATTTATAAAAATAATATTTTAAATGGAAAATGTAAATTTTTATCAACAAGAGAAGATTTGATTTTATATGTTTTATATGTTAATCCTGAAAGCTGTCATATTAAACTAAAAAAAGTTTATAGCTTTTCAAATAAATAAAATTTAAAATGAGTGTTCTTTATCCTTTATTTCAGAATAAAATTAATTGGAAATATAATATGCAAACTTATAGGTCACATTGCAGTTCATTTTCGACTGACATTTAAATTATACCAGTCAAAAGGCAAATAATGTGTTTTTTTTTTTTCATTAGATATCAACTTATTTGAAGCAGATTCATCCTCTCTCTCTCTTTCTCATATTTTTTCCCCTCTACTCATCTAATGGATTTCACATTTTCAAAATATATCATTAAAATAGCTACCAAAATTTCAAAATTTGCACAATGGTCATATTTATGATTATTATTATTTTTATTATACAGTATAAAAAATTTTTGATTATCTGAATATATGAAAAGTTATTATATTTCTTGGTAGGTATTGTCCTTGTTGCGATTAATCCTTATGAAGAATTACCAATATATGGAAATGATACGATTTTTGCATATCGAGGCCAAGCGATGGGAGATCTGGATCCTCATATTTTTGCTGTGGCAGAAGAAGCATATACACAAATGGAAAGGTATGCAATATGTATTTTAATAAAATATGCATAGGTTAATTAAATTAAGTGAAGTCCTTAATAAAATAAGTTAATGATTTTATTTGCTTTCAAAAAGTTACAAACAGTGTAATATAATGAAATTGTGTAAAAGTTGGGACCCAAATAATAGTAAATCAAAAAACAGAACTGCTTGCTTTTAAAACAAAAAGTATTTATTATGAAATATTTTTGATGTACTGTTTGCCATCTTCAGCATTAAATGTGGAGTAGAGTTAATGGAATAAAACATCTTTTAAAGTAACAGTGTTGGTAATAGAATTTTAGAGCAAGAATACTTAAACAAAAAATTTATAATTTTTTTTTTATTCAACAAAGTTTAGCAATAATACTTTTTCTCTCTATTATACTTGCTATTGTTGTTTTTACTATTTCTACTATACCTGTTTGGAGAACAAAGGAAATTTTATAAAACCATTGTTCAATTCATGAAAACCACAACATGCTTGTTGTTTTATTTAATAAAATGCTTTCTTCTATTTACAGTGGTTAACCTTCCATTTTTCAGAAGAATTAATGTTACAGACAAAGATTCGTGTGTTAGTAGGAGTTGCAAGTGTGTATAAAATTTTAAAGGTTTATAAACAAGAATGTTATTACATTAGTACTACAACTTGCACCATAAAGTCAAGAATAATGTAACAGAGTAAAGATATTTTCATTTTTTTTTTATTTGATGGTCATCATTTTTCCTTATGGGGATCAGAGTCATCCTTGTCCCACTATCACACCAAAGGAGGATGATTCTTTAATTTTTCTATAATTTTAACATGCAAACATGTATTCGTACAAACAATTTTTTAAAATAACACTTAGGATTATGACATCATTCCTGCCCCTAACCTTTACATCAATATCCTTCTTGCGAAGGTCTGTAGGTCCTTAATGAGGTGTCTGTTCCGTAGCATTCGATTCGTTCTGTTGTTGATGTAAGGTTGAGATCTCTATTCTTTCTCTCTCGTATTTTCTGCATTTTAAAAGTAAGCGGTCTAGATCCTGAATTTGTTCACCACACTCACAGGTTGCGGTTTGTCTTTTGCCAATACGTTGCAATTGCAGTGACTTGTATATAATTGGCTGGTTAGGTGGTTGACTGGTAGCCAACGAAGATCTTTCATATGTTCTTCCACACTTGGCAATAGCCAGAATGTGTGTCTTTCCTTGTCTGAGTTTGTCCAGTTCTCTTGCCATTCCACGAGTGTTTCATTACATATTATGTTTTTGGTCCCAGAAATAGGGATTTTATTGAAATCGATTTCTGTTAAGTGGGCATCCTCTTTGGCCAATAGGTCTGTCCTTTCGTTGCCTATTCACCCATCTGAATTTTATGTTAAAATTGCTTTCCTTTATCATTGATTTGACATTTATGGCCATTACATTATTAATAGAAAACTGCTGTAATGTGCTGATTGCAGACTTACTATCTGTGTTGATTATGATGCAGTCAGTTATGTAGGCTGAGATCACCCACTTGACTGCTTCTTCAATTGCCAACAGTTCAGCTTGGTACGCTGAACATTGGTTCTTAAGTCTATAGTTTCCTTTGTGGATTTGATTGTCGTCATACATTGCCACAAAAGCAGCTCCCACTCCTTCATTTATCTTTGAACCGTCCGTGAACAGTTCAATATCCCCTCTTTCATTTTCTCTAGCTATGCCTATAGATTTTCGATTGTACTGACTTGGCAGTGTTGCTGCTGTTGGCTTTAAGTCCATATCTGCCTTTGTAAATTCTATTCCATTTATTGATATGTTTTTCCCCTTTTACAGTTGTAGATGGTGGCTTTCTCTTTAATTATTAAGTTGATTGGTGGGGTTCCCATCACCACTTGTAGAGTTTCGGTAGATGTGGTGCGATAGGCCTTAGTTAGTTTTAGTAGTGCACATCTTTGTGTGCTGTACAACTTCTTCTTAATACTCTCTTTACTGACTGCCTGATGCCAGGCAGCTGCTCCATACATTATATGTGGAATGAAGGCTCCTTTATAGATCACTTCAATAACTTTGTGGCCAAGGCCCCAAGTAGCTTTAGCTACTCTCACTAGGGCATTAAACATGTTTGTACACCTGTCTCTAATTGTTATCACATGTGGGAGCCATGCCAGCCTTTTATCCAGGGTAATGCCTAAATATTTTAATTGCTTTTCTACGTTAATGCTTTTGCTCCTCATTCTTATTGTCAGAGTCCTCTTATAAAGGTCCTTTCCAAAATACAATTGCCCTTGTTTTCTTTGGGTTTTACGAGAGCTTTGGGTTTTACGAGAGTTTTGCTCTCCTATCTCCTGAATTTTACCTAGCACTTGTTCACCTTTTAGTTTCATTTCTCTACGAGAATTTGCTCCAAAGATCACAATTCTATCATCTGCATATGCTAGTTCTATTATGTCCAAATGTTTGTTTATTCTAAGGAATTGGACATATGTCAGATTCCAAAACAATGGTCCAGAATTGGACCTTTGAGGGCAACCTCTATTTAATTCTCTACTTATATTTGCCCTATTTGTGTTATATATAATTCTTCGATTATGTAGATAATCCTTCACTATGTAGTAAATATTTTCAGGACAGCCAGCTTCCCTTAAAGATTGGAGAATAAGGGGCCACTATGTGTGGTCAAATGCCCCCTTTATATCAAGACTGATGGTGCAACAATACTTATTTTCTGTCAGTGTTCATTCTATTCCATCCACCACTTTGCTTATTATATCATCAGTACTCTTACTAGGAATCCATACTGTTTATCACTTAGGAACTGTTTGTCTATAAGCTGAGTCATTATTCTTTGGCTTATTAAAAAGTTGAATACTTTGCCTAGCATCAGTAATAGACTAATTGGCCTATAGCTTTTTGCTATGCTCTTGTCTACATCATCTCCTTTTGGGATAATGACCAGCTTTGTCTCCTTCCATATTGATGGGAAGAACCTGTAATGGAGGCATAAGTTGTACATTGCTGTCATATAGTTTGGGTCTGTCTCCCAAACTTTATAAACAATTTCTACCACAATCCCATCTGGCCCAGGAGTTTTGCTGGGCTTGAGTCTGTATATAGCATTCTCTGCCTCTTTTGCTAGTGAACTCTGGGTTCACTACATTCCTGTATTCTGCTTCTCCACTTTTTCTTATGCACTTTTGATTTGGTTTGTCTGTCTCCTGATTATCTGGAGGAAAGAATGTGTCCATTAAGCTTTTTACTGTACTCTCAACTCCTTTTGTGTATGTTTCACCATTTCTTATTGATGTCAAGAAGGTGGGAGTTTTAAGCTTGCCGGCGCAAGCCTTATAGAGAAAGCCCCCATTGCTTTGTGGTGCTCTCTGTATAAAATGCTCTCCATGATTTGAGTTTTCTCATTTTTATCATTGCTTTGTAAACTTTGCTGTTGTTCAGATACTCCCTTCTCTTTGCCTTTCTCTCAATTTCGTTTTGGGCTCTCTGGTAATGCCTTTATAATCGATTGTTTTTCTTCCTCATTTTGGTTAAATCATTACTCCACTAGGGAACTATACCCTGACCTTCCTCTTTTTAGGGATGCTCTCCTTGCAGGCTGCAAGGAGGGTTTCCCGAAAGTTACTTACTATTTCCTCTGCTTCATATTTGTTTTTGCAGTTGTTCAATTTCTCAAGATCCATGGTTCATCATATTTTTGTCTGGAAGAGCAGCCAGTTGGCTCTGTTAGTACCATAGAAGATGCTCTCTTCGCTATCCACTTCATCTGAGACTCCAACTTCTAAGAAGATGTAACTGTGGTCACTAAGACTGCATAGTGAAGAGACTTTCCAGGATTTAACTTGCTGTAGTGCACTACTATTGCATATCGTGAGGTCAATCCAGCTCTGACTATTGGTGATCAAACATTGGCAGCGAATTAGGCTGTTTTAATAGGTGCAGATTGTTTGCGCTTGCAAACTCTAGTATTTGCTCAGCCCTTTCATTATTTTCCAGATCCCTTCAGAGTTCAGAGTGGGTATTCAGATCTCTGCAAATAATGATATGCTTATTCCTAAAGCGATTAATCACTTCTTCTATTTTGTTAAGAATTGGGCCAAGATCCTTAGTTATTGGGCAATATACACTTAGGAACAGATAGTTCTTTTCATTGTTTCCTGCTTCAAAACAGGTTACGAACTTGTTATTTAGCTCATTGTAGAAAACCACTGGAATGTTCAGGCAGCTTATTACCACTGCTGTTGGACAGTAGTCCCTATTGTAGAGCGATCTGTATGTTGTTCTCAGGCATGCTAGTGTCCCTCTGTAAAAGTAGGGTTCCTGAAGCAATGCCATATCTACTTTTTCTAGAGTTTTACACAACACTGATGTCCCACTTATCGATCTTTGGACGTTAATCTGTACTATTCTCATCCATCTATCTTTTGTCTGACTTATGTCGTTATTTGCCATAGTCCATCTTAGTGATAAGCATTTTTCTAACTTTCTGTACGAGTGGACGTTATGGCTTGTATTCTTCAATTTTTCCCTCTTACAATTCATACACTCTATTTTATCTTTTCTATTACATTATTTGTATTTGTGGTTGAGACTACATTGGCTACAGGTAGGCCCTTTATCTTTGCAATCCTTTACAATGTGCCCAATCTGACAGCACTGGTAACACTGTGTGACAGAGATGTAATCTTCAACACTACATCTGGACCAAATCAGGTTAATCTTTTTGTTTTGGATGATCAGTCTTCTAGTTGCTGGAGTAACCTCCAGTACCCAGTTTATTGTATTCTTATTTTTATTTCCAAATTAGAATTTTATTTCAGTTTGCTTGCGAAACTCTTCCACAGTCAGGTTTATGTTAATTGCTTCATTTTGTTCATATGAGCATTCTATAATCTTGTCTATCAGGATATACATCACTATCCTGGGTTTTCTCCTAAGAGGTTCCCGTGTTTTTAATCCAGTTTTAACTTCTATTACTTTCTTAAGCTTTATCTTTTCTTCATTTGTTGCTACCT